CCTCGCCCTTCAGGCAGGTGGTGGACCGGGAAAGCTGTGCCTGAGCCTTGAGTTGTCGTCATCGTCCGTCTTCTTCCTCGCCCTCAGCAGGTGGTGGACGCAAAAGGTTGAGCCGGAGGTCGAGCTGTTGTCGTCATCGTCATCTTCCTCGCCCTCAGCAGTGGTGGACGCAAAGGTAGAGCTGGAGGTTGAGCTGTTGTCGTCGTCGTCCTCCCTCCTCGCCCTCAGCAGTGGTGGACGCAAAGGTTGAGCTGGAGGTTGAGCTGTTGTCGTCGTCGTCCTCCTCCTCGCCCTCAGCAGTGGTGGACGCAAAGGTAGAGCTGGAGGTCGAGCTGTTGTCATCGTCGTCTTCTTCCTCGCCCTCAGCAGTGGTGGACGCAAAGGTCGAGCTGGAGGTCGAGCTTGTGCTTTGGTTGCCGCCTTCGGCGTCGCTTGTCGTGGAGCCAGGGAGTGTAGTTGTGGTTGTCGTCGTGGCATCTTCGGTTGAGGCAGAGGACTCGGTCGTGGAGCCAGGGAGTGTAGTTGTGGTTGTCGTCGTGGCATCTTCGGTTGAGGCAGAGGACTCCTCAGTCGTGGTGCTTGCAGAGATGGGCAGAGCTGTTGGTGTGGACGAAATCGGGAGTGCGGTGACAGTTGCGGCGGCCACGGCCAAGGCAACGAGGCAGGCAAGGCCGACCGCCTTCACGGTCCCACTCATGACGGGAGTTTCCTTCTTGCGGTGTGCGGGTCAGCCACGTCGAAGGGCGCAAACTTGCTTGACAAGGTTGCTTTGCTTGCTTGGTATCTGGTCTGGATGCAGTGGGGAACTTGAGAGGGAAAGCGTGTTGCTTGAAGCTGCCTTGATCTTGGTGAAGATGAAAATGAGCGAGAGACAGAGCTCCAATCCAACAATGCGGAGAACACCTGACCAGTTGTCTGGTGACATGTGTGGCGCTGCTCCAAAGACAAATACGACAACGGGTGCGGTTTGGCGGGTGTGAATCCGTTCCCACTCAGTGGCACGTCTGACTTCTCAGTTTTGTTTGGGTGTGGCACGACGAAATTAGGTGTTGGGTTGGCGCGGCCTGTGGGATGTGCCGTGGTGTGGCGTGTAAGCTTTGTTGGGGTGTCGTATCAACACAAAATGTGAAGGGTTGGGTTCAACAGGTTGGGCACGGCACGAGCAAGAACGCCACAGACCAGAACGCAGAAGGTAGCGACACACCTGCCTGACGAGAGCGAGGACTGCGACATGCTGATGACGCCATCCAACACCACATGCGTGGAATGTGCGTGTGTGGGTTGTCACACCAAACGAAAGCAGGACTTTCCTTCACGTGGCAAGGTCCTCAGCGCGTGCACGTGCAGTGGCCGTCGTCATCAAACTTCACATAAAAACGTCGCAGCAGCACGACGATCACCCACTAATGGCGCGTGCTGCGAATGCGACGCGCCCGATGCTCCGACGCAGCCCTGCGGTCCACTGGGCACACCACAACAGCAACACAGAACAAGAACAGAACAGGACAGGACAGAGGACAGAGAACGTGTCTACGCGTCACATCATCATTCGCGACACCGCAGACGCAATCAATGACTTCTTGCTTGCTGCTGGTTTGTATGCTTCTGCTTCTTGTTCTTGTCGCTGGCGGCGTTTCTTTTGGTCGGGTTGGCCACACAAACCGCTGAGACTGTCTATGCGGATATGGTTTATATTGAGAATTGACCTCGCAGAAACCAAGGAGAAATCTGGGGATGACACCCCGGACAATTCCTTCGGTAGCTCGCCGTTATGGCGCAGTTGGGAGCGCGTTAGACTGAAGATCTAAAGGGTCCCTAGTTCGATAGCAGTCGTCAGTCTTCGCTAACACAGACGGCACAGAAACCCTGGGCTGACGGGCACTACCCTCC